TAAACATAATAAATTGACTATTTAATAAAATATAATACTAAAATAAATTTTAAATATTTGTGTGAGACGTAAATTAGTATCTAATTATATTTGTCAAATTATAGGCGTTATAAATTTTAAATTAAAATTATTTACTGCAATACGTTTTTATATCAGTATGACACGTAAGCAAAATTATAACTGACGAGATCGCGACATGTATCTAATATTGATCAGATGAAGAATGTGTTAAAACTTAAAATTAATTAATAAAAATAGAATTTAAAATGGAAAATAATTGTCAATTTACTAATCAAATAATAAAAAGTAAAATTTCTAATATTATCAATAATAATTAATAAACAATGTTTAAGTTAAAATATAGATGTGACATAAGCCATAAAATAAACAAATAATACATATAGAATAAAAATCTTAATTAAAATAAATAAAAGGACGAATGATAAAAAAAAGGTATATAAATTGGAAAAACAAAATTTAGAATGGTTACAAAATATACATAACCATGCAAAAATAAAATAAAAATAAAATCTATAGGAATACTTATTTTATCAATATAGACTTACAAAATATCACAAAGAAAATAAAATTTTTTGACCTATGACGTCATTTGTACTCTTCAAGTGTATATACTAAAATTTTATATAAACTAAGAATATAAATCTCTAATATATTAATAAAATACAATTATCAATCATATACTTATGTGATGGTTCACAACATTATTTATAGTTTTTATGAGGTTACTAACATACAATTTATTTTTTCTGATTTAATTATGTTTTTGGATTTGCATGATATATATTAGAATATGAGAATTATAATATATCTCAAAATTTAATGGATTACTAATTAAAAAATTTAAATATTTATTTTATTAGTTTTAATAGTATTTATCCGTGTATTAACACGGGTCTTATTCTAGTGTAATATAAAATAATAACTATGAGATGAACGTTTTTTTTAATGGTTTTGTGACTTTTGTCTTGCTGTGTTGGACTTCGGCCACATTGTGTGCCAATTATGTGTGCCAATTAGTGAACAACCAAATATGCACAACAAAACTTTAACTAATATCTCTTGGCCTAATAAAGGCCCATATTTAAGCCCATTAGTGACCGACCTACCTACACACTCGCCTTTTAATTAATCAACATTATAAGTATTGTATAACTAGTCCAGTACCAGCGCCTTGCGCGAAAATTAGATTTTCTTAATAATTTATTATTACAAAACTGTTAATCATTAAAATATGATTTAAGTTTTTAAATATGTATTCTTTTAATCTAAATTGAAACTAAAATCATACAACTAAAGTAGACACATCTGTATTTTTAGTACGGATAGAACTAATCATTTCACTATAAGCGTTTTAGGTTGTCACAACATGTAAAAGATATTACAAATTAGAAATATGATGCCATTTATACCATATTAATAATTTTTAATTTATTAATAAAATTTTAGATCAAATTTTAGAAATCAATATTTATTTATTCTTTTCATTGTTAAACTTAAAATTTGATTTAGACATTGATTGGGATCGGGTGAGGATTTTTCTTCTCAAGAAGTTGTGTGGTACCACTTTCAACTCGAAACGAATCAAAAACATTATTTTTATGTCAAAGTCTGATACGCTTTAAATCATCGCCACATGAAAAGTTTACAGTATTTTATATGATTTCAATTGCATATGATAAAATTCAAAATATATATTACGAATATACCTAGTAGATATCACCATAGGTATTTTTCATTATATAAAAAAAACAAAAAAAAGAAGTCAAAGATTACAAATTAACCCTGTGGTTTATGCTAACTCAATGGTTTAGACATATTGTGTTAGTTATGATTGCTTTGATTCGCTTTGTCGATCTTTTGTATTATTTTTGTTCACTTTGGAAATATTTTGTTGAAACTAACTGAAACTAACCGAATAAAACTATGATTCGGTTCAGTTCGATTATGGAAAATTTTGGTTCGTATGTAATGTTGCCGAATAAAAACTAAAGTACTAACTCGATTTGATTTTTAGTAAAAAYTTTTGGGTAAAATTGTGGATAGTTCAGTTAATTTTGTCAATTCTGGTTAGTTTTAGTTAGTTTATACTCGTTGGGGTTCAACAAACTTTTAATGGAAGTCAAATTATAATTGTTCATCGTTTATTTCAATGAACATGTTTTAAGTAACCAACAAATTCTTAATAATGCTTGCAATTAATATTTGGCTTCTACGGTAACTGAAGTATTTTGGTTGACAAYTTACACATACATGTGACAAACACGCCGTTGAATATCTTATTATATATGATCCACATATTATAGTAGGGTCCCTTCGGAATCACTATATTAATAAGATAGTTGACCCAAAAAGAAAAGATAATTTAAAAATGCTTTGATGTTTCTCAAATTCAAGTTTATATTAATGTATGTGAGACATATTAATCAAGAATATCAAGGAAAGAACTCGAGTTATGGTAAAATATGGCTTAGAGTAGAGATTATGGTTCTCTCTTGTTAAATAAAGAGGAGGTTCAAGGCAATCAACACAAAATGTTTGTGTTGATCTTGGTACTAAAATGGAGCAACTGGAGGAAACATAGTACATACACTTACACAACCAAATCAAAGAAAAATTGTTCGAAATAAATCAAAACCCAAAACACAAATTTTAAGAAACCATCAAGTCTCAACTTGGTTTATGAAAAAGCCAAGCGTCGTAGCATCTCCATAGCTTACTCACAATCGGGCTCAAAAATATGAAAGACATGGTCATTCCCGTTTGTCTTCATTATCTCCGCTTTACCTCTCCACTTGCTTAAATAAGAGAGAACTCTTCACAAAAGAAGCATAGTGAAATAAGAGAACACCAAGTACTGCATCAAACTAAAGTAGTTAAGCAAGTCATAGGAAGAGTTTTTATCATCACAATAGGTCGGTCATCAGTATGGAAGAAGGAACAAAACAAAAAACGTTTGCAAAAAGAGATAAAGGTCTTGACATTATGTGTACCATTAAATGCTTTATTGTGTGCTTCCAAATATCTCGGGTCGAACTAGCCTAACGATGCTCTAGAGTCTCACCAACATAAGCAATCACTTTCAAACATTGAGCAAGTGCATACACAACCTTTTGGGGTCAACACCCAAATCATGGCATGACRCATAACTAATAAGTGCGTCAAAWGTCARTATTAGTTTGAACGATCAAGRTAGATGATTRAAAACACCTAAAGATAAGCWAAAGTTGAAGTGTAAAATCAGAGTCAAAACAGTTTAAYACAAAACAAAACCAATCTTTTAAAAYWTTTTGTTTGGATCCTTTCTTTTGTTCGGACACTTTGTTCTCTGTAAAATCAAAAATTACAAAGAGTAGGGCTAGCTAGAGTTAGAGATTTTAAGATCAAACCTTGGAAACTCATTGACAGCGCGGTTTTTTACTTGAGGTCATAACCG